GCAGAAATGGTGCTTATCCGTTAGATTTTCAAAACACTAGTTTTATCTTAAATACTGATTATACTTTAATTAGTTTTCTAGACGAAATGTAGTAATATAGATACACACCATCATATTTATATATCTCCCAAAAACTTCAGCATGCCATGTTTCAAAAAGCAATTAGGAAATAAATGTTCAGAATGAGTTTTTGAACATTTATCTTCCTTCAAATTTCAAAAAAATTATGAAGAACGGGAAAAACATTTTATGCTATCTAAATTACTTTTCAATTCAACTGAAGAATATTCAGTCCAATTTTGTAATAAAAATACTGCAATTATGAAATGTCACAAGAAGAAAATCATATCACTTGGGAATGACTATCACTATCTACATCTTCTGAAAGTGGTTTAAATTACATGACCAGTGTTGATGCCACCACTCGAATATATTATTGGTTAAATCGTCGTCATAAGGATTTAATTACGAAAATTTTAATTTATTTATAAGTATGTGCTGAAAATTTTTTGAACCGAAAAACTTGAATGATTTTACAGCATTTTTGTATTTATGTATACAAATATAATTTTTTGCATTATTGTTGCTGCTGCTAACGAACTGGATTATTTTTTTTACATCCTAGTCATAATAAACTCTCCCAATGAATTTTGTTAGATATATTTAAATAGGCAATAAATTTTACATTGTTCGCTATTGCTAACAATCCAGATTAATGATATACTCTATATATACCATTCAAATAAATTCCTGAGTCAAATGGTAGTTGGCCTAATTATTAAGTACATAATTGAAATAATGCTTTCTATCATTAAGTTAGTTACAACTATTGTCAATTATGGATATATTGCTGCTATATTGTGTGAAGTACAATCAAATAATCTCCCGAATCAAATAACAAATGCCGTATGCATTGATATACTATATGTTTCCTCTATCTTCGCCAAGGTTCTACCAATAGTTCAATAGTATAGCTCTATTTCTACATTAACACAACCAAATCAAATTTATATAATCTATTTTAGCACCAGTTATAGTCATTTACTAATAGCTATGCAACACTCCATACGTTTACTTAGAATAAATTTACCGTATAAAAACATTTAATGACATGTATGCTACTTAATTTTTGCCATTTAGAAACAATAGAACCTCGTTAAAACGAAAACGTTTAACACGAATGTTCGTTTAAGACGAAGGACGGCTGTTTCTCCATCCGTTATCTTTCGTTACGTTATCTTTCAAAACAATAATAATAATAGCTACGTTTCATGTAAGCATTAAGAAAAACTTCGACCGTTTAAGACGAACAAATATTGCCCTTAATAAGCCCAAAATCCTCATTGCAATTTTTTGAGGTGACCTTCAACATTGAAACTAGTTCATCGTACATCTGGAACATGACAAGTGAGGATAGGGCATTTGTTTTTAGAACTGAGGTGAAGCGCATTTTTGCAATTTTATAACCGTCGTTGAACCGCCGGTTCAATTTAGGGTTTACGCCTACCAATGTTCAACTACGTAACTTTGCAATTTTGAGCACAATCCAGAAGACAAAGGGACTCTTGAATCAAGTATTGGGCGAAATTTTCCTTCGTGGAGGACTTCTTGTTGGAACTGACCCGCATTTGCGTTACATGGCGAGGAAAGCTACGAAAACCTTGCACGGTAAGCCTGACTGCAAGGGGACTCAATATCCATCAATTACTAAGGATATTTTACGTCAGCGCTCTGGTAGATGCGAGCCGAGAACGGAATTTGAATCGTCCAGCCATCACTGGGATTTGAACCCGGGTCACCTCATTGAGTACTCTGACCCCTAAGCCACCACGGCTCAGTAGAAGGCCATTGTCAGTTCGCATCAATTTAAAAATTCGTTACGTCATTAGCTGACCAAGTTAAGAGTTGTGGATCTTTGACGTTGGTGTGTGCAGCGCTGATCTAAAATGCGACCCTGAGAAAAGTGCTCCTTTCCATGGGGATGATGCAATTCTTTTATGATCGTCAATCTTTCTTGAGCCTTACATTAGGTTGCTATCACGGTCGTAAATCAACTTGTGAAGCTCTTGTTTCGAAAAGGAGTGGGTAAAAAAATCCTCCGAGATCCGAAACTAAGAATATTTTATATGATGCTTGTGGTAGGATTTTTAAAAAAGTGAATGTAAAGAAATGAAAAAGTGTGAAGTATGGAGGACCTGAATGAACTACAACAACAACAATAAATATTTCGGTTAGGACGAAAGATTTTTCCTTTCACCCTAGCCTTTGACAGAACTAATAGATTCCACTGTATACAACTATTGTTAATTATTTGGATAATTGTCATAATCGCGTACATCCCACTCTAAAAGATTGAACAAGACCTGACTTGTATTTCAATATATCCATATATTAAAGGTTGCTGCTGATCATTGCATAATATATTGTTGTATTTTAGACATTAAATATTTTATTATTTGCATCCTAAACATAATTTTTTTTTCATCAGGTTGTGCGTTTGTAAAATTTGGATCTCATTCTGAAGCACAAGCAGCGATAGGAGCATTACACGGGAGCCAAACAATGCCAGTAAGTAAAGTAAATATCCTTTTTTTCATCCCTATTTTCTTATTCTTCTCGAAACTGTTTGATTCAGCACTTTATGTTATTAGTATGATAAAATTTTAAATCAATGCTTCGTTAGATCTTCCAGTTTTATTGATTTTTTTTTTAAAGAAAATGGTGTACAAAAATTAGAGCTAAGAACTGTGCACCAAAAGAAGGAAGATAAGAAATAGGTATGATAGAAATATGATGAAACCCCAGGTGTGGCAAGGGTAAATAAATATAAAGTATACTTTCTTATTCTTTTCGAAATTGTTTGATTCAGCACTTTATCTTATTAGTATGATAAAAAATTTAAATCAATGCTTCGTTAGATTTTTCATTTTAATTGTTATTTTTAAAAAGAAATTGTGTACAAAAATTAGAGCTAAGAACTCTACACCAAAAGAAGGGAGATAAGAAATATGTATGATAGAAATATGATGAAACTCCAGGTGATGCAAGGATAAATAAATATAAAGTAAATTTCCAAACACTACAAAATAATGCGATAGAAGGATCTTAGGCTATGTTAGCAAAATTTTTAAAAATATAAAATGATTCCCAGAAATCAAGATCAGTGACTAAGGTACAGTGTTGAATAATTTTAAAGGTAAAAAATGCAAGCCTATGATTAAAAGTTCAGTTCATTTAATATCTTATTAAGTTCATTTAATATCTTATTCCTTTGCATTCAAACTAATATTTATAAACATATAGCGCAACCTTTCTTCACCTTGCCCTTTTTAAAAAAGTCAAAAACATCAAATTTTCATTCTCTGCTGAATCACAGCATTACAGAGACGTCTTTAAAGCAACGATTGCTGTTACGCAGAAATGGTGCTTATCAGATTCAAAAGTTGAACCATTTACGCCTATCTTTATTTTTAATCAATCTTTAGCAGCTTTTGAAAAGAAAAAAAAAGTATTCATATTTCAAATGCAATTTCTTTGAGTCAAACGAAGATCTGAAGAATTTAAATTGTTTTCTGAACTTTTCTTGAAGGTACGGAAATTACGTGCCGGTAAGAAAATATTGAAAAGCATTCCCACTTCTGCACGAGTCAGCATCAACCAAACAGAGCCTTTAAATCCGAATGGTTGGGCTACAGAAAACGTCGAAACGTCCCGTAGGGCCGATTGTATCGCTTTTTACGAAAGCGTTTACTTGCAGTAAACGTGGACGCCTTTACCAAATTATTATTTTCCATTATTTTTACTTTTTTTTTACTTTTCGTTTGAGCTTAGCTTCCTTCTTTCGTATTTTCTTTCCATATATATTTATATAAAGTTATACGTCAGCAAAAAATAAGACTTTGATCTCATAGCCTACAAAAAGTTCCGGTATTAAATTTCCGTCTTTCCATTTTTTCACTCACGAGGTAACGTTTTTCTTCCTTTCTTTCTTTTTTTAGTGTTTTTTCCCTTGGATCTCTTCAAAAGAGCGTAAAAAAAGAAAGTTTTGAATTTTTTTTCCTTTCTTTTTAGTACTTTCGGAAGGATTTTCATTAGAACTTTTTTCCTTTTTTTTCACTCATCTTGCTCCCTTTTTACAGCGTTTCCTAATTAAAAGGAACTTTTATTTTTTGCACATAAGCATGTAATTTTAAGCCATGTTTTAAGTTCCCATTACACGTTAAAGTAATCTGCTTCCTCGGTGTAAAATGATATAAAAATGTTTGCAAAAAGCCACATATTAAAAATCTTTTCAAACCTTCAAACTGTGAGCATACACAAGCATATAAGCAAATTACCTTTTTTTTTCTTCCTTTTCTTTGACTTAAACGATATTTTTTTTTCGTCTTTCTCCATTTTGTTAAGCACAATAAGCTAAGAATTAGTTACAAAATATGAAATATCCCTAAGTTTTAAGGATTGAAAATTCTTAAATTAAAGTTACTTGAAATGAAATGGTGGGGATTATTAAGTTGTTAAAGTAAAGAAAAAAGTGTTGCTTTAATTAATTCCTTTTGAATTAAAGTTTAATTCTTTAAGACTACTCAAACAGTTTAAAAAAAATTAATTAAAAGCATAATATTTATTTTTGTTTTGAAATAAAAACAGGATTATATCAATATTAACGTTTTAACAAAAACAATATTCCTAGAGGAACAATAACTTCATTGAGAATATTTAAATTCGATTTTACTTAATCAGTATAATGCTTGAAAAATACAATAAATTTTAAAACAATTCATTCGTAGGCAAGTATGTATTTAGATGTGCTTTTTAATCATTATAAAACATGTAAATATTTTATGCTGCAGAATACTTATTATTTACACACCATAAACATATCTTTTACATCACTGCAAAAAAATCTCGTTTAATAAGCATTACAAATATTTTTGAATTATAACATTAATTCAAAAATATAATAACAAAAATAATTATAACATTAATTCAAAAATAACAGCTTAGCCAAAAAATTTTAACTCGTGAATTTTTCAATATGAGATTTTTCCCTTTTAATTATTAATTTTCTTATACAATTTTTTTATTCTAACAAGTTTGAAACTCTAATTTAGTATTTTTTTATAATTAAAAGTTCAATTTATTTAACCTCTTTCAAATTTTCAGCTGTCAAACAATCAGCTTCCTCAAAGCAAATAATCTTCGAACCAGTATTTCTACGATTCTTGAGTAAATAAGTTTTGACTAAAGTATAAGAAATTATATTCTTCTCATTAAATTTGACATGTAACTTTTCCAAATTATGATAAAAATTAGATTAATTCGGTATTATTTTTTAACTAATTTGAATGCAAAAAAATTATCCAAATTAGTAAAATTTATTTTATTTTCTCAAAAATGTTTAAGTTTCGGTGATTTGATATTATGCATTTTAGTACATTTTAATTTAATTCATTAAATCCTAACTCTTGCCCTTATTCCTCTATTTTAAAGTTTAATTTTATCGAATTTCTTTTATTTTAATTCATTTAAATTTGAAATATTCTATTTATTAACATTTAGCTCTATCCCTTCTTTATACAATGTTAAAATTATGGTTTAGTAATATTACTTTTTTTATGTAAAATAACTCATTAAAATTAACCTTTTATAGTATAATTTTTTTTTCAATTAGAAATTTATTTAATAAATCTTATTCTTTTTAGGTTAAAGTTTTTAAGTGCTTCGATTTTATTATGGCATTTTAATAAAAATTGTTCTAAAATTTAAAGTTAGAAGATATTAATTGAAGTACATGAACCTGTATTACTTAATTAAACGTGCAGAAACTAGCTTTGAAGTTTTATAAAATTAACGGTCTATTGCCGAACTCTTAACTCAAAATATGCGTTGACATACTCTATATTTTTATAAAAGGCTGTAACTTAAGGCAATAATAGAAAAACAGAACTTCTTTAATGAACAGATTTTACAAAGAGTTACTAACTATTTGGAATAACTTTCATTTATTTATTCCTTTAGTTTAGCTTTTAAATGTAAGATTGTGCTGTTGAAATAAATAAATACATTGAAATTCTCTTTATATAAACCATAACTCATCAGTAATAGCTTATGCGTTTGCTCATTATAACATATATTTAAGAAAAAATAAGATAAAAATAAGAAGACGTAGATAAAAAAAAATATCATACACTTTAACATTTCAAAAAATAAAATCAACAACCTCAAAAAAACTAATTTTTAGTAACCATCAATGAATATCCGAGATACAACGATCAATAATAAAACAAATCCGAAACATAAAATTTTCAATACTATTTCTGCAGTTTTTTCTTACTAACACTTCTCCCTAATGAAACAATATATAAATTTTAAAGTCCTTTTAAATATCCGATACGCATAAAATGTCTAATAATAAAATATATCTAACAAATAAACTGCCGGCATCATTTCCACAAATATTTCTCTTTTCTTAAAGAACAATTTTAAATAAATCTAATTTTTATACTCTTTTCTAAATTTCCGTAATATATATCATGATCAATAACGAAATATATCCTAAGGATAAACTTTTTAAAACTTATTTGTACGTCCCTTATATCATTTTGTGTGTGTGCTAGGTTGTTTTTTCTTGCTAACACTTCTCCCTAATGAAACAATATATAAATTTTAAAGTCCTTTTAAATATCCGATACGCATAAAATGTCTAATAATAAAATATATCTAACAAATAAACTGTCCAGCATCATTTCCACAAATATTTCTCTTTTCTTAAAGAACAATTTTAAATAAATCTAATTTTTATACTCTTTTCTAAATTTCCGTAATATATATCATGATCAATAACGAAATATATCCTAAGGATAAACTTTTTAAAACTTATTTGTACGTCCCTTATATCATTTTGTGTGTGTGCTAGGTTGTTTTTTCTTGCTAACACTTCTCCCTAATGAAACAATATATAAATTTTAAAGTCCTTTTAAATATCCGATACGCATAAAATGTCTAATAATAAAATATATCTAACAAATAAACTGCCGGCATCATTTCCACAAATATTTCTCTTTTCTTAAAGAACAATTTTAAATAAATCTAATTTTTATGCTCCTTTCTAAATTTCCGTAATATATATCATGATCAATAACGAAATATATCCTAAGGATAAACTTTTTGAAACTAATTTGTGCGCCTCTTATATCATTTTGTGTGCGTGCTAGGTTGTTTTTTCTAACACTTCTCCCTAATGAAACAATAAATAAGTTTTAAAATCCTTTTAAATATCCGAGATGCATAAAATGTTCAATAATAAAATATATCTAACAAATAAACTGCCTAGCATCATTTCCACAAACATTTTTATTTTTCTTAATAAAACAATTTTAAATAAAACTAATTTTTATGCTCCTTTCTAAATTTCCGTAATATATATCATGATCAATAGCGAAATATATCCTAAGGATAAACTTTTTAAAGCTTATTTGTGCGTCTCTCATATCATTTTGTGTGCGTGCTAGGTTGTTTTTTCTTACTAACACTTCTCCCTAATGAAACAATATATAAATTTTAAAATCTTTTTAAAT